CGGGAGGGCCCAGCCGCGAAAAACGAGCTCCCCAATAAGAGATTTCATTTGGAAAATGGCCATTTGGGGAGCTCGGGTACACCCCCCCCATCCCCGACAGAGCCGTTTTGCGTCGGGAGAGGGTTCCAGATGGATTTTCACCCTGGAACGGTTCCGGGGTGAAAATCCATCTGGAACCTCCCGACGCTGCGCGGCAGGGCCCAGCCGCGAAAAACGAGCTCCCCAATAAGAGATTTCATTTGGAAAATGCCATTTTGGGAGCTCGGGTACACCCCCCCCCATCCCCGACAGAGCCGTTTTGCGTCGGGAGGGGGTTCCAGATGGATTTTCACCCTGGAACGGTTCCGGGGTGAAAATCCATCTGGGACCTCCCGACGCTGCGCGGGAGGGCCCAGCCGCGAAAAACAACCTCCCCAATAAGAGATTTCATTTGAAAATTGCCATTTTGGGAGCTCGGGCACCCCCCCCATCCCCGACAGAGCCGTTTTGCGTCGGGAGGGGGTTCCAGATGGATTTTCACCCTGGAACGGTTCCGGGGTGAAAATCCATTTGGGACCTCCCGACGCTGCGCGGCAGGGCCCAGCCGCGAAAAACAAGCTCCCCAATAAGAGATTTCATTTGGAAAATGCCATTTTGGGAGCTCGGGCAGCCCGGGTACCCCCCCAGACAGAGCCGTTTTGCGTCGGGAGGGGGTTCCAGATGGATTTTCACCTGGAACGGTTCCGGGGTGAAAATCCATCTGGGACCTCCCGACGCTGCGCGGCAGGGCCCAGCCGCGAAAAACGAGCTCCCCAATAAGAGATTTCATTTGGAAAATTGCCATTTTGGGAGCTCGGGTACGCCCCCCCCATCCCCGACAGAGCCGTTTTGCGTCGGGGGGGTTCCAGATGGATTTTCACCCTGGAACGGTTCCGGGGTGAAAATCCATTTGGGACCTCCCGACGCTGCGCGGCAGGGCCCAGCCGCGAAAAACAAGCTCCCCAATAAGAGATTTCATTTGGAAAATGCAAATTTTGGGAGCTCGGGTACGCCCCCCCATCCCCGACAGAGCCACTTTGCGTCGGGAGGGGGTTCCAGATGGATTTTCACCCTGGAACGGTTCCGGGGTGAAAATCCATCTGGAACCTCCCGACGCTGCGCGGCAGGGCCCAGCCGCGAAAAACGAGCTCCCCAATAAGAGATTTCATTTGGAAATTTGCCATTTTGGGAGCTCGGGTACACCAACCCCCTTCCCCAAGATGCGCCCGCAAGGCTCCCGAGAGCGCCCAGATGGAAAATCACCCGTTTCAGGTTCCAATTTTCAACCCGGAACCGTTCCAGGGTGATTCTGGAACCTGAAACGGGTCGATGCCGATGGAACCCGGGTGAAGTCCGAGGGTTTGTTTTTACGGAGTCGGTGCCCCCCTTTTCCTGGCCGATTCATCGGGCTGCAGCCGGTTCAGACCCCCGGGCCGCCTCCAAGCCCCCACAACATCGAGCAACCGCGCTCGGGCGGCACGAGTCGCGAGCAAGGCTCGAGCCCCCAAGCCGCGCGGCAGCCGAGAGCGAAGGCTGCGAGCAGGACGGTGGAACGGCACTCGTGGAGAGGCCGCCGCTAAGATCGCACCGGGTCCACTATACGCCTGCGACTTTCAGTTTAGTCGGATATGTGCCCCTGCAGGAACAAAGTTCCAAAATTGACAAAGATAGTTTGGCGATGTTGATTTGATTATGTCTGACCATGTTTTGCGTATGGTTTGAATATGTTTCCCTGTTCTGCCAAAGTCCGTTTGTAGGAGGACATGTTTTACCTAAACCTACACTGGTCCTCGTCGGGCCGATCTGGGACCAAGGATTCGCGCACGCGCGTTTGCCTGCCCAGCTAGGAAAGCGTGTACACCGATCCTGGGTCCCGGGCCCAGGATGGGCCTGGCCAGGATCGGTGTATACGTCTCTAGTGGTCTTCGGCCCATGCTGCCACCGGGGCCGGATTGTACGTCAACGGCCTTTTGTCGCCCCCTTCGGCCAGTTTTGCAGCGCTCGTGGTTCTGAGAAGGTAATGCGGGAAGCGCCACAGAACCGCCAGAGGCACGCAAGGAACCCCGGAAAATTTAAGTCGTGGGCCGGCCCATTGATATGTTCTGACGCTTCGCGCGACCCCACCAGCCCATCCAGAGACGATGCCCAGAAGAGTTGCTTCGACCATGGGAGTGGGCAGCACACAGAGGAAGGGTCACTCTTGGAGCGCTCGTAGGTGCCTCGGGAAGCCTCTTGGAGGTCTCTTGGGCGCCTCTTGGGGCCTCCTGGGCGCCTCTTGGGGCCTTGTTGAGGCGCTGGGAGTCGTAGGGGCGCTCTTGGGGCCATCTTGGAGAGACCGATCAAAGAAGGGGAGAGTTTCATTGTTGACCCCCCTTCGGGAGCGCCTAAGATCGCCTCTTGGGCCGTTCTTAGGGCGCTCTTGGAGCGCCCTTGGGCGCTCTTGGGGCTCTCTTAGGCCTCTCTTGGGGCCCTCTTGGGCCCTCTTGGAGCCATCGAAAGCAAAAAGGCGAGAAGGCACAATTCATTGATTGTCCGTTGGTGTTTGAAGGATGTTGACCTCTTGGGGCTGTTCCGTGGCCACTTGCAGCCGCCTTGAAGCGTTCTTGGGGCTTGTTGGAGCATTTTGGAAACCATCATGAACCATCGTGGAGGTCATTTGGAGCTCTCTGAGGCCCTCCTGGAGCCATCTGAGGCCATCTTGGACGCCCCAACCCCTCGCGAAACGCCCCCTCCAGGTCCAGGGGAGGGGTAAGGCGGAGGGGTAAACCCCTCCCCGAAGGGGAAAAGGGAGGGGTGGAAGAGGAAGCGCTCTAAACCACCTACGCCCCGAGGGCTGGTGGGATTGAAGCCTACGGACCGAGCTGACTGAGCACCACAAGGGACCTGAGGCGACTCCAACTCGTGCCTCGCGGCACGGTGGCGGCCAGTCGGCGCCCATATAGACTTTGCATCGCTCGGTCGTGTGCATTTTTCCTGCGGCGAGGACCATCGAGGAGCATCCTCGATCATTTGGCGAAAGAACCACGCACGAAACCGAAAAAAACACAGGGAATGGACGTCCGAGCGATGGCGAGTAGAAGGTGCAGAGCTCGAGACGCAGGTGAGGCACGCGACCTTCGCGGGCGTCCCGCGAGGGCCTCCACGCCATCCACCCGTTCTGCCGCCAGGCCGCGCGCGTCGTGGCCTTCCACGAGCGGCGGGGCACGGCGCACGGGCCTCCTCGCGCTCGGCCTCGGCAGCCCTCCCCCGTCCTGCCCCTTTTTTGGCGCCGGGCACGAGAGAGAGACAGAGAGCGATGGTGAGTAGAGGGTGCAGAGCTCCGAGGGGGGAGGAGGAGGAGGGGGAGGAGGAGGAGGAGGAGGAGCAGGAGGAGGAGGAGGAGGAGGAGGAGGAGGAGGAGGAGCAGGAGGAGGAGGAGCAGGAGGAGGGGAGGAGGAGGGGGAGGCGGTGGAGAGTCCCTCTGCGGTCCGGGCGCCGAGGCCGTGCGGGGGCGAGCGTGCGGCTCGTGAGCTCGCAGGAGGGCCGGGCCTGCCGGCGGCTCCCGACGGGCCCTCCTCCTCCTCCTCCTCCTCCTCCTCCTCCTCCCTCCTCCTCCTCCTCCTCCTCCTCCTCGAGTTCCGACGGCCCAGTGTCCTGGAGCTGCGTGCGGGGGGAGTTCCAACGCCGCACTGCAGGTTGTCGAGTCTCGCCGTTTTCCTGGCGGCCCCGCGGGGCCAACTCGAGAGCTCCCCTGATTGCCCCGAGGTCTTGAGCGCCTCCTCGAATCAAGGACCACGCTGGGGTGCAGGCTGGGTCTCGCCACTGTCCTCGAATGAGGGCCACGTTGCGTGCTGGGCCTCGCCATTTCCCTAACGGCCCCGCAGGGCCGACTCGAGTCGAGCTCCCCTGCCCCGAGGTCTTGCGCGTCTCCCCGAATGATGAGAACCACGCTCTGGGGGTCGGGAGCAGCGCTCTGGGGATCGGGCCGCTCCTGCGATCCAGCTCGTTGAGGGACCTCTCTTCGTGGCCGGGGGCTCGCCGCAGCCACAACAAAGGCCATCGGGGTTCTCCTTCGGCTTCCCGTAGATATGGTAGCACGACGAGTGTATGGACCAGAGTCCTCTGTTGGGAGCCAGTGTTAAGTCGGGCATGTCCCTCTACAAGAGCAGTGTTCAAAAATAGTCATAAAGTAGTATGGGACCGTGTTACGATTGTTTGTGGAAAATTGTTTTGCATTTTTGTCCAGATTCTATTTTTCTTGAAAAATCAGCCTGTAGGAGGACATGCCCGACCTGAATCTAGCTCGGAGGGACCTCTTCGTGGCCGGGGCTCGCCGCAGTCACACAAAAAGCATCGGGGTCCTCATTCGGCTTCACGTAGTTATTCGGCGGCGAGCGAGGGGGGGAAGTGAAAGGGAGAAGGCGTTCTGAGAAGGTGGCGGGATTTCTCAGAAGCTCTCGCGCTTTCGGAGGGGTTTTCTGTGTCTTCGGGGAAGGCCTAGAAAACTTCTCAGGAGGCTGGGGAGACTTCCGAGCCTTCTGAGAAGGCCCGCCCCTTCTCACTTCTCCCCCGCGCTCGCCGCCAAATCATGGTAGCACGACGACTGTATGGACCAGAGCCCTCTGTTGGGAGCCAGTGGCGAAGTCCCGGCGCAGCCCTTCGTCTGGAGCGCAGCTCTCGCAGCGAGCAAAGCGTGCAGCACGAAGGTCCGATCGTGGTGGCGGCCCACGCAGCCATCGGAGGGCCGTGTGGACTCACGGGGTCTTCTCGGCAGTTGCCGCCCGGCGAGGGCGCGAAGGCAAGGACAGCAGCCATGGCCAAGCGGACGGCATTGAGGCCCCCCCCCAGGATCAGGTCGGGCATGTCCTCCTACAGGCGCACCTTAGAAGAAAAATGAAAAATAGCCCCCCAAAAATGTTCAAACCAAATTAGAGTGAATCGAAACATCGTCCTCTGACGATAGTTGCACTGATGTAGGGACATGCCCGACCTAAGCCCAGGAGTACTTCGAGGCCCTGGAGCTGAACGCCTCCAGCATCCGCGCGCTGTTCAAGCTGCTCGACGCCGACAAGTCAGGCGGGGCCCAGACCCAGGGGGGGAGTGGGGCGCGGCCTCTTCCAGGAGGAGGAGGAAGAGGAGGAGGAGCAGGAGGAGGAGGAGGAGGGGGGGAGTGGGGCGCGGCCTCTTCCAGGAGGAGGAGGAAGAGGAGGAAAGGCAGGAGGAGGAGGAGGAGGAAGGACAATGAAGGCAGAGGTCCTTGAGTCCTCCTCCTTCTCTTGCTCCTCCTCCTCCTCCTCCTTCTCCTCCTCCTCCTCCGCCTTCTCCTCCTGCCCCTCCTTGTCGTCATTATTATCATCAGCAACGGCATCATCATCAGCAGCAGCATCATCATGATCAGCATCATGATCAGCAGCATCATCAGCATCGCAAGCGTCAGCGTCAGCGCCATCAGCAGCCTCATAATATGCTGAGTCTTCTTCATCATCAGCAACATCAGCATCAGCTGCAGCATCAGCATCAGCATCATCATACTCATCCACATCACCATCATCATCATCATCATCATCATCAGCATCATCATCATCATCATCATCATCATCGTCATCGTCATCGTCATAGTAGTTTCATCGTCATCGCCATCAGCAGCATCATCATCATCAGCATCATCATCATCATCGTCGTCACCGTCATCCTCAGCATCATCCGCATCAGCAGCAGCCGCATCAGCATCGTCATCAGCAGCATCAGCAACATCAGCAGATCCTCATCAGCATCATCACCAGTACTAGTACCATTACCAGTACCAACACCCGCTCCATCACCACCATTCTCATTACCATAGCATCATCACCATCAACATCAACCATCATCATAACCACCATCATCATCATGATCAGCATCATCGTCAGCATCATCAGCATCATCATCATCGTCATCGTCATCATCGTCATCGTCATCGTCATCGTCATCATCATCACCACCATCATAATCATCATCACAACCTGTTGCTCACCCCTTCTCCTTCTGCTGTTGCTGCTCCTCCTCCACATCATCACCACCACCATCACCATCATCGTCGTCATTACACTTTGTCTCTCCTCCTCGTTGTCCCAAGGAGGAACAGGAGGAGGAAGGAGGACGACAGACCGATCCGTACCTGCAATGTTGCAGGAGAGAGGAGGGAGAAGGTGGTGATGATGAGCGGGAAGCTTGAAAGCGGATCAAAGCCAGAGCGCGGGGCAGAGGGGCTCTGACGCCTTCTCCCATGCCACCCACGCATCGGCGCGCACAGGCGGAGCGAGGCCAAGACCCGGAGAGAGCCCCTCGTGTCGTGAAGTGAAGGCGGAAGGCCTTTGGCTTGGCATCGCTCGAACGTGCGAATGTTTCTCGGCGAGGACCATTCAGGAGCACTCTGGATCATCCTGCGGAGACATGCGCGCGAAACCGAAACATGCGTGGGGAATGGACGTCACAGCGACGGCAGGGTTTGACAACTCTCAGCATCCGGGGGCTCTCACGACCAGGTCCGGGGACCGACAAGAGACGATTCGGGATGGCATCGATGATCCTCAGGACGTGTGTTAGCCCAATGTGTAGTTACCCCGGTCAGGTCCACAGGTAGCACGCAGCCTCTGTAGGTCCTCATTACATTGCTTGCGTCCTATTGACGGGCTTCGATGGGCAAGCACCCGCTGGCGCTGACACCCGTTCTGAGGATTATCGATGAAAGGTCAGTCCTGGGGAAGGGTGCAGACCTCTGGGGGTACATGTTGTTATCGGAGGCGGCCCAGGGAGGGGTGATGGTAAGGGGGGATATCATGGTCGGTGGCATGATACCTGCCCTCATGTCCAGGCCCTGTCTTCTTATTTCAACACGTCCCTTGGCCCTTCCTCGGCCGCACAGGTGCCTCGGGCCATGATTTGTGGACGTACCCTCTTGGACGCCCCCCTCTTGGACGCCCCCGACGTGAACAATTCGCAGCGTGGGGGCTCCTCGGGGAGGTCAGAGGGGAATGCTCCCCGCGGCGAGGGTTATCCGTCGGGGTGCTCTGGGAGAGCTCCTGCTGCTGCCGATGCTTCTCCCCCACCCCTTCCACCACCACCACCACCACCTCCTCTTCCCCTCCTCCTCCTCCTCCTCCTCCTCCTTCTCCTCCTCCTCCTCCTCCTCCTCCTCCTCCTCCTCCTCCTCCTCCTCCTCCTCCTCCTCCTCCTCTTCCCCCTCCCAGTTACTCCTCCTCATCCTCCTCCTCTTCAGCTGACGTTGCCTCATCCCCCCCCTCGTCCTCCTTCACCTGCACCGTGGCCTGGGCACGTGCGAGGAGAGCACCTCATGGCCCTCGTAGGTCTTCCTCCTGGCGGGGGGGCAGGCCCGACTCCCCGTGCCAGCGCCCTCGCCGGGCCGACTTGCGAGGGACCTCCCGCGCATGGCACTCCCGGGCCGCGAGGCCGCGCTCACAGGGCGCGCCGAGATCTGCCCGTCGCCGGGCCCCAAACGCCTGGCAGTGGTGCCCGGCCCCGACCCAGGAAAGGGGCCACGACGACTCGACCACGCGCAGGAGTGGCCTGTCGCAAGAGTCGAGTGGCCTCTGGCGCGCCCTTCTCGGCCCGGGCCCCTGCGGGGGCGGCCTCTGGACGGGCCCCCCGACCGCTGGCCGCGGAGCGGCGGCAGCGGCGTGCCCCGCCTGGGCCTGGCCATCCCGCGCTGCCCCCGAGGCCGCGCGCCACCGGCCGCTCCCGTGCCTGGGGGCACGCCTGCGCGCTGCGGGGAGGGCGAGGCGGGCGGGAGCGACGGGGCGGACGGGCCCCGGGCGGCACGAGGGGCGAGTCGCCCAGGAGCGGGCACGGCCCACGCCTTCGCCGGGGAGCCTCGCCGAAGGCACGGCTCGATCGCGCCCTTGGACGCATCGGCCCCCGATCGTCACCTCCGGTGGAGGAGGAGCGGGAGGACGAGCAGGAGGCGCTCCGCCTCCTTCCCGTGCGAGGGCAGCGGGATGGGGAGGCACGGTCGACATCGCCGAGTTCTGCGAGGGCTGCCTGCGCCTGAAGGGCGAGGCGCGCAGCTTCGACATCAATTGCCTGCTGCGCCCCTTCCCCCTCCCGGCAGCGCGAGTTGGGGAGGAGGAGGAGGAGGAGGAGGAGGAGGAGGAGGAGGAGGAGGAGGCCGACGAGGCAGAGAAGTGGGAGGAGGAGAGGGCGCCCAGATTGAGTTGAGGATGTCTGCCCGATTGAAAGGAATAGGAGCTGGGGCTGAAAGTGGTGTCAATGGAGGAGGAGGAGGAGGAGGAGGAGGAGGAACTTCGGAGGAGCACCAGGACCACAAGCAGGAGGAACAGCAGCAGCAGGAGGACGACGAGGGGAGGAGGAGGCAGGAACCGGGAGCCAAGCATGGTGCAGTGGGGCGGCAGGTACGAGCACCGCCGGATGCACCAGAAGATGAGCCATCTGCTGAAGCACGTGCAGGACGGCGGTTGGGGTTCTCGCAATGATTCCCATACTCCTTCTTCCTCATTCCTCCTCTTCGTCTCCCCATCCTTCTCCTCCTCCTCCTCATTCTCCCTCCTCGGCGGCCATTTTCCATGCCGCCAGAAAAAGCACATGGTTGCAAATTAAGTTGGATTGACTGGTCGCACGCTAGGTACGACACTGTTAGCAATACAGATTGTTGCACAGTTTTTCTTGCAGGCCACCCTCAGGACACATATTGATGGCATACCTCGGCAATAGGTTTGGGAGCAGACGTCCGAGGCTTCTAATCCCCATGGCGTCGCCTAGCACGTTGGTGCGAACCAAGACCGCACTGCCCGCACGGTGCACGCGGGGATGTCGGGACGGCCAGCTACTCCAGCGAGCGTGCGCCGTCGGGTGCAGCACAGGGCGCGCGGCATCCGCCCGCATTCTGACAGCCTCCGCTTCGGGCCTGACGCACGCGGGGCCACGCCTGGCCGCGAGCAGACCGGCGCTCGGCCTCGCCTGGCTCCGTGATCGCCGTGCCCTGCTCCCGAGGAGTGCGGCGCCGAGGGCGCAGAGCACACGAAGCCGCCGCGCTCCGGAGAGCGCGGGCCTCCACGGCCGCCCGCCGCGCACGTGGCGCCGCAGGCGCGGGCGTCCGTGGCCAAGCGCTCCCGCTCTCCCTGCCGCAGGAGGCGCAGCGGTGATCCGTGGATGAGCGCGCGGGGGCGCCATCGCACACGTCAGATGCTCGTTCGGGGGACCTTCCTGGGGCCCACCCAGCGGATCTGTTAGGTGCTCGTTCGGGGGACCTTCCTGGGGCCCACCCAACGGATCGGTTCGACTCCAGTTCGACCCCAGTTTCACTCAAGTTTGGCTCAAGTTCGACTCAGGGTCGACTCAAGTCGACAGCCGTTCGACGCAGCTTCGACACACGAGTGGGGCGAGTGTCTCCAGGAAGGTCCCCGGAATGAGCATCCAACATGCGCTCGTCTCAATCAGGAAAGGGGAAGGCCGAGGGAGGAGTTGCAGAATGAGCGGCAGGAGCGGGCGACGGCCACGACGACCACGGCGACGACGGCGTCGGCGGCGACGACGACGACGAAGGCGAAGGCGACGGCAACGGCGACTGCGACTGTGGACGACGGCTTCCCCCCGGGGTTGGCCCCTGCGGCCGCGCCGTGGCCAGGGGTGCCTCCGGAAGGTGGACAGCAAGCTGCTCAGGCCGAGATGCCAGAGGGAGGGGGGGGGGGGGGGCTTCCTCCAGGATCGAGGTTTGAGGATCGAAGCCCTCTGTTTACGGAGGAGATCTCCTCCCGTTTCGGGGCGCCCAGGGTGACCTCGCGGCCACGGTCGCATCCCCCTCGAGGTTTTTTTGTTGTTCAGAGCACCTCGCGGGCCGGCTCCGAGGCTGAACGAGGAGGCCACAAACGCCGACGCCCTCCCAGCAGAACGGACGGGGGCCAGCAACAAAAAGGATCCGGGATGCAAAAAAAAGTGCACCTGGAGACTGAGAATCGAGAGTTCTGGGGGCCCTCGGATGGAAGAGCCAAGCCGCCAGAGGTCGGCTCGGGAGGGGGACGGGGGAGGAGCAGGAGGAGGGAGGAGGGAGGAGGGGGTCAAAGGGGCGGCCACGCGCGAGGAAAAAAAAAAGCGGCCACGCGCGAGGAGGGGGTCAAAGGGGTCGCTCTTGAACCTTCCAGGACGCACTGGAGACTCTGGAGCCACCCGTGAGGAGGAGTGTGGTCTCGGAGCAGTGGCTCTAGGGCTCCTCCTGGCCCTTCTGCTGCTCAGATTGTTACTCCTCCGCCCCGATGCCAAGAATGGCAACACGAAGCTCCGATGCTGGGTTTCTCCCCCCAGGGTCGACTTTAGAAGAATGTGCGTCTGGGTACAGATCTGACAGATCTAACCAGGAGGCTGATGACAGATGGGGCGCTGCGTCGAGAAGTCGAGAGGATCATATCTCGACCTCGCGGAAGCTGGCGGCAGACCGGCGGAAGCCGCCAGAAGACCGCCAGAAGTTTGCGGAATTTGAACGAGGGCCGCCTTGCAAAGAAGAGTGAATACCTTGGAGCCACGGCCAGATCCCAGGGTCCCAAAATTGTGTGGCGACTGACCCCGCACGGCAACTTCGGAACCTCCCCAGACCTCACCGCGCGGCCCGTCGCTGCACGGTTCTTCTGGGACGTCGCTGTCGCCCGTCGGCTTCCTCCTCCTCCGCCTCCTCCGCCTCGTCGTCATCTTCCTCCTCATCATCCTCCTCCGCCTCCTCCTCCTTCCTCCTCCTCCTCATCCTGCGAGAGTGTTTTACCCTCTGGGCCATAACGCGCGTTAGGCCCCCCCCCCTTCCCCCCCGTCCCCCCCCCCATAGCGTAACGCTCCCCCCCCTCAGTGCGTCCCCGGCAGCACTGCCGCAGTGCGTCTTGCACCACAGTCTGGAGGGGAGCGCGTTGCGTCATGGCCCCTCCCGTCCCCCTCCCCCCTTCTCCCCCCATCACGTCCGTCATGGCCGCGAGTGGAAAAATGCGCTCCACTTGGGCGAGAGGAGCAGAAGCAAGCAGCAGAGGCACGACGTCGAGGATCCGTGCGCCAGCGCCGCACAACGGTCGGAGGCGCGGGTCCATGGGATGCCTTCGGGGCCCAAAGAGCGAAGAGCACCCCCCGACAACGTTGGTTCTCGATGGACTCCCCACGGCGCCTCCCCAATGGGTGCTTTGCGGCGGAGTGGAGGGCGGCGATCGTCCTCATCCCTCCTCCCTCCTCCCTCCCTCCTCCTCCTCCTCCTCCTCCTCCTCCTCCTCCTCCTCCTCATCATCATCATCATCATCACCATCACCATCACCATCACCATCACCATCAGCATCAGCATCATCATCATCATCATCAGCAGCATCAGCAGCATCAGCATCAGCATCAGCATCAGCATCAGCATCAGCATCAGCATCAGCATCATCATCATCATCATCATCAGCATCATCATCATCATCATCATCATCATCATCATCATCATCATCATCATCATCATCATTCCTCCCCCTCCTCCTCCTCCTCCTCCTCCTCCTCCTCCTCCTCCTCCTCCTCCCCTCCATCCTGCTCGGCTCTTGGGCGGTGGCGAAGGTGGCATGCGTGCGCCACCCGCCCGGAGGCAGGCCAAGCGATCCGAGCACGATCCGCGCGAAGACGATGGCCAACGACGACATCCATCCTGGTCGCTCTCCCATCCCGTCCGTCCTCCATCATCCGTCCTTAACCCTCTCCCATCGTTCCGTCCTCCGTTCCCCGCCCGTGTCCTTCCCCCATCCCGCGCGCTCGGTCCTCCAGTCGTTGCCCTCCCCCGTCCTCCGTCCCTGAGATCCGACGTCGCGAACGAATGAGCCTGGCGAGGAACCTATCCCCTAGCAGCTTCATGCAGCGTTGCCTACGAGCTTCTCTACACACGGCCTGTGTGAGTGACGTGCCGAGCCGGGTGGTGGGGCGCATGCACTTGTGTAAGATTCGGGTCGCTGGGGAGCTCCATGAAGGGCGCGCAACGTGTGAGAGTACGCCGACGTGTGCGGGGAAGTGCACGCAAGCGTTCCCACCGGGCCCGCAGGTGGAGCTCGTGCGCGCCGCACCGGGCGGAAGTTTCCCCCCCGAGGCCGTGTCGAGAGCTCTCATATGGGGGCCCGATCTTCGTGAGGTGTGCGTGGCGCGGGTCGGCGCCACCGCGCGGACCCTCCCACTGAGGCCACGCGTGGAGTTCCCTACAGGGCCAGGGCCGCGACCCTCGCGAGAGGTGCCGCGGACGCGGGCGGAGCCGCCATGCGAACCCTCCCGGTGAGGCCGCATGTGGAGACAGCAACGATCTCCGCGAGAGGTGCGCTCAAATGGGCGGCGGCGCCATGCGGACCCTGTCCACGGGGCCGTAGATGCAGGGTGCGCCGACATGGGCGGCCCCGACATGCAGACACTCCATTTGGGGCTGTAGGTGGAGCTCCCAACGGGGCCAAGAACCGCGAGAGGTGTGTGCCGAACTTGGCGGCGCCGCCGTGCGGACCCTGCCACTGGGGCCACAGGTGAAGCCCCTCATGGGGCTACGAAGCGTGTGAGGGGTGTACCGAATTTGCGGCGCGTGCGCCATACGAGGGCGCTTGCGCCATACGACGACCCTACAGAGACCGTAGTTGGGGCTCCCTATGGGGCCACGAACCGTGTGAGGGGAGTGCCGAACTGGGGGCGCGTACGCCGCACGTCAGCGCGAATTGGGACTCCAGGTGGGGCTCCTTATACGGACGTGTCAGCTATGTGTCACATTGGAGGCGCGTACGCCATACGTCGGCACCCACTGAGACCGCAGGTGGAGTTCCCTACGCGACCACGAAACGTGTGAGGAGTGTGACGACAGGGGCGCTTGCCCCATACGTCAGCGCCCACTGGGACCCCGGGTGAGGCTCCTTATGCGGCCACGGAGCGTGTGAGCTGTGTGCCACATGTGGGGGGAGAACGTAATGCTTCGGCGCCCACTGGGACCGTAGGTTCAGTCCACGAGTCGTGTGAGGTGTGTGCCACATTGGGGGCGTGAGACCTATGCGACGGCGCCCACTGAGACCCCAGGTGAAGCTCCCCGATGGGGCTACGGAACGTGTGATGTGAGTGCCGAAGTGGTGTACGTCGGCGCCAGTTGAGACTGCAAGTGGAGCCCCTAATGCGGCCACGAGCCGTGTGAGGGGTGTGCCGAATTGGTGGTTTGTACGCCATACGTCGGCCCCTTCTGAGCTCCACTTGGAGCCGCGAAACGTGTGAGGGGTGTGCCCAATTGGAGCCTCGTACGCCGTACGTCGGCACCCGCTGAGACTGCAGGTGGAGCTTCATGTGTGTGTGTGTGTGCCGAAGCGATGGTTCGTACACCATACAGCGGCGCCCACTGAGGCAGCAGGTGGAGCACCTAATGGGGCCTCGAACCGTGTGCGGGGTGTGCCGACATATTAGCATGTACGCCATGCGTCGGCCCCTTCTGAGATGGAAGATGGGGCTCCATTTGGAGCCACGAACGTATGAGTGGTGTGCCCAATTTGGGCCGCGTGCGCCATACGTCGGCGCCCAGTGAGACTGCAGGTGGAGCTCCCTACGAGGCCACGAAACGTGTGAGGAAGTGTGCCGAAATTGGCACGCGGAGAGTAGAGTCAGGAGGGATGAGGACTGCGGAGGAAGTGGATCGCGGGGGCGCTGCGGATCCAAAACGAGGACCCACCTCACACAATATCGCCGAACACTACGACAGGAGCCCTAGACCCAAACTTTCTGTGGCATGTCTCGAGCCGGATCGATCCCTGAGGAGCCCAGGGCCCGAAACATGGCGAAATCGCCCGGTGCAAGAAATATAAAGGCAACGCCTGGAGCTCAGGGCCGACCGTGGCCCTGGGCCCGGGACCTCGTCCACCTCGACCTCCCTGGCGAAAGATCCCCGCACCGCCCGCCCTCCGCGGCGGCCCCAAGGGACGAGGGCACCGCCGAGCGGCAGGCGCTGCAGCTCAGCGGCGTCGGCGGAGCAACCCCTGGCGGCATCGGCGGCGCGGACCAGGGGGGGGGGGGGGGGGAGAACTGGCAAGACTCTGGGTTGCGCACAGAGATCCCGCCGCAGATAGTCCCAGTGGCTGACCTCAGCAGGCCCCCCGAGTAGTCCCAGCTGGCCTCAACAGGCCACCCGAGCAGTCCAGGGCTCGCGGAGCGCCCCAGGGTTGGGGTGCTGAGACCGCCCCAGACTCCATGGGGGAGGAGAGGAGGAGGAGGAGGAGGAGGAGGAGGAGGAGGAGAGGAGGAGGAGGAGGGAGGAGGAGGCTGCTGAGGCCAGCTGGGACTCCCCGGGGGGGGGGCTGCTGAGGCCAGGTGCAACTGCCCGGGGGGCTCTGTCTGTGCGCAGCCCGCAGCGTCGCCAGGGGCCCAGACCCCCGACGTTGTGATTTGTTCGCGGCGTGGCCCAGAGAAGTCTGGAGCCCTTCCCCGGGGGGACCAGTTTTTCGTCCTGAGTCGTTTTTTTGTCGGGGGCGGCAAAGAGGGGGGTGAGGGCTAGGGGGGGGGGGGGGATGTCATGGCGGGGGCAACGATATCTCCCCAGATCTCATGGCGCCCCTTGTGGTGTCAGTACGCCCCCGACCCCCCCTCCTGGGCCGCGCACATGCCGCCGGCCACGATTTGCGCTCCCCCTTGGCCGCCCCCAATTTTGACGGTCGCGAGGCCCAGGAAGGGCCCCCGGGAGGCCGAAGATTGCGAAGAGTCTCCCGCCGTGACTTCTTCGCGGCGCGAGGGGGTCTGGGGGGAGCCGTTCTGGGGCGAGGGGCCCCCGGAGGCGTGCGGCGCCTTCGGGGTCGGTCGGGTCGCGGGGCCTGCCGCCCTCCTTGGGGACCTCTGGGGTCCGAGGGCGCCAGCCACAACGCCGGCGGCACCGACCTGACCCTGCGCGCAGGATTGGCGCTCTTGATGTGTTCCCTCCGTGGGCCTCGGAGATCTCGGCCAGTTCCCCGAGGGGGGGGGGTCCTCCTCCTCCTCCTCCTCCTCCTCCTCCTCCTCCTCCTCCTCCTCCTTTCTCGTCAGATCAACCTCAGTTGCAGGTCTGTAGCGTTCCTCGGGTATACAAGAAGATCGGCCGACTTCGCGATGCGAACAACCAAATGGGCCTTGGATTGAAACAGGAAGCTGAAGTAGCACAGAGAGAAATTAAAATAAGGGTATCCCAAATGGCAAGAGTTAGCGGGCGGCATTGTTGATAAAATAGTTGAGGCAGTTATTGTCGCAAGATCCGTTTTGAGCAGAGGCTGCTGTCAGTAATCATCCTTCTCTGCCCCCGTCCCGATCAATGTAACCTCCACCGCCGCCCATGCAAGGTAAGCTAACGAGGCAAAATAAGCTGTGCGTGGCGGCTGGCACAGTTATTTTGGCTGGCCAGAACAAAAGCAAACGGTGACGCAACAGACTGGTGAACTGGGGGCTACACGTGCAAACTAATCGTTGACAACGAATAGGTGAGCGTGACTGCTTAGTGTTCCACGTTGATCCTTGTGGGCTCGGGCCCTTAGGGTAAGTCAGGCAGCTGTAAGGACACCAGGCTGACGCAATCAGTACTTCAGTCATCACTCCGCTCATAGCGTCCCACCCAACATTTCCCAAGTGCCTGTAGGTTGGCGCAGTAGCAGGGCTTGAAATGAAAGGAGCAATACTGGGCAGTGTAGGCCAGCACGTTCTGCAGGCTGTCATGCTGGCGATGGCTGCGGGCATCAAAGTAGGGCGATTGGTCCGGTCGACTTGAGCAATGAAAGCCTCAAAGGAATGCGAGGTGGGAGCGGTGGTGAAAGTACAGCGGCACACAACTGGACCGACGCCCTGCCGCCGAAGACCTAAAATGGCCAGATGGCGACGCCCCTTTCCCCCGCCGTCCTGCCATCCGGCGTGCCCCATCCCTTAGTGTGCGAGGCTGGAGTGGTAGGAAGCAGGGCGACTGGAGCACGTCCTGAGGTTCTCTTTTGCCAGCAGTCGGCCCGCCCTTCTGCTCCTCAGTGGGGAGGCACCTTCGCCGTGCCTTGGCCTGGGGGTAGGGCTGGTCAGAGGTGTACACCTTAGGCGATGCTTAAGAAAACCTAAGTTTTCGGCCAGAGTCTCGATTATTCTTACTGTTTCAATGTAAATCCTAAGATTTGAATGGGCATTCTGGGTTTTTACTTAAATTCTGAGACTATCAATTTCTTAACCCATGATTTCTAAAGCATTTCGCAGGGTGTAGCTTTGAAAGGGTATGCAGTACGCTCTGCCCAGCGGGAGCACCACTGGTAGCCCTGGCTGGTGGGGAGCGGCCGAGGCACACAGCGTGAGGATGCTGCAGCATACTTGTGAGCAAAGGCCTGAACTTCGAACTGCAGGTGGTTGAGACTGGCCTGGGACTGGCTAGCCTGTGTATGTAAAGTGCTGGCAAGATGCACATATATAATATAAATTTACATTTGTGTATATATATTACACTTGCGAAAATCCAATCAGTGGATGAATTGAAAATCAGCCATATGGATCTTGAGATCGATTGTGAGATCGATAATGAGATCGATAGTGGAACCGATAGTTGATTACCGTAAGGTCGATCGCGAGACCGAGAGACAAATCAATTCAATGAGATCGATAGGGAGATCGATCGCGAGATCGCTCGTGCGATCTCTAGTGAGATCGCTTGTGAGATCGATTGTGAGATCGATTGTGGGATCGATGGTGAGATCGAAAGAGAGGTGGGAAATGAGATCGATGCGATCGATGCTGAGACCGATCGATAAGAAGATCGACCAGGAACCCGGGAACCTGGGAACCTCGCCGCCCACCGAAACCGGCCCAGGAACCGGGAACCCGGGAACCCAGGAACCGGGAACCCATGAACCTGGCTTGCCACCAAAATCGGCGTGAAACATTCGCCTTCTCTTTCAAAATCCGCTAGGACCCCTTCAGTGCAAGCACCGATTGGGAAATATAGATAAATGTAAACATATATCTATGTATATACATGTTTGTAGATACATGTCTACACATATTCCCCTTCCTATAATTTTGCTAGCCAGGGGGGTGGGAAAACCCCCATCCAAACACACACACACACACACAAGACCGGACCCCCAGTATCTGGGGTTTCGGAGCCCTCCGGACACCCTTGCAAAAGGTCCCCTGGCTCGCCCTGGACCTCCCAGAGCGCTTAGCAGGGTCTGGCCAGCAGATCCCAAGCGATCAGAGCGGTGATCAGAGTCGCCGAAGAGTGACCCAAGACAGCACAAGAGCGTTCCAAGAAGACCCAGATGGCCTTCAGAGCGGCCCAGGAGGCCCTGAACAGGACTCCCAGAACGCAGGAATCGCTGAATTCCTCCAGGGGAACTTCCATTTTCAGCATATTCGCTGTTCGGGTCTCAGCAGCGCCCAAAACAGCCAAAAAGGCTTCTGGTATCGCCCCAAGGCGGCCCAAGAACCCCCAAGGGAGGTTCTAGACGGCCTGGATGACCCAAGACTGCCCAAGGAAGTTCCAAATTGACCAAAAAGAGGCCCAACAGGCCTTCACAAGGCCCCCTACAGAAGCCCAAGAAAGCCATGGGAGGCCCCCAAAAAGGCCATGGGAGACCACCAGGAGGGCCCACGTAGCCCCCGTAAGGTCCCCCGAGGGCCCAAGCTCCCATACACGGCCCAAGATGGTCCTAGGACGGCTCGAGAGGGCCCTAAGCCGGCCCACCAGGGCTCCAACAAGGCCCACACGGCGTTTTCCACCATACTGATTCGAATCCCGGGTTCGCCACCACATTTCCCAGAAATTTGCTGCGAACCCAGGATTCGGTGCATTTCCCAAGAATGATTCACTTTCGCGTGCCCCGTCGCGACCCACTGCAACATGATATCTTCGGCATTGCTTTGCACTTTGCGGCATTGTTTGACATTACGTTGATTTGCTTGGCATTCATTCGCGTGGCTTGCCATTCCTTCGCATTGCGCACCAGAGCACCTGAGCCATGAGCGGGCCAATGTGCGGGCCTACGAAGCCCTTTCGTCGTCATTCACCGCCAGACATTTTTGCAAGCGTGTACGTACCGCCCGCACGCGGGGTTGGGTGGCTTCTGGACACCGCTCTTCGGTGCGGCGCAACCCAAATTCTTCGCCGTCCCCCGACGGCGACATCTCTTTCCCTCCTCCTGCTCCTCCTCTGGGCCCCTCTCATCCTCATCCTCATCTTCATCCTCATCCTCATCCTCCTCTATCTGCCGCTCCACCACTCGTCCTCCCCCACGTCCGCTTCCCTATCCTCGCTCCCCGAGATTCCAGGCCTCCTATCCTTCGCCCTCCACCCGGCGCCCGTCGGAAGCCACCAGAGGCCCGGGAAAGGCCACGGACCACCAGAATGTTTAAAAGATTTCCGAAAACCACCGCGGGGAAGGGGCTAAATTTCCACGGCCGCTGAGGATGGCGCGAACGAACACAACATAAGCAAAGCCTCGAGGACCAAGGTGCATGGCGCGAAGCGCCAATGCAATCTTGTGTGTATATATATATATATATATATGACCCCCCAGCCGCGGATAAGAGTGAGGGGACGGGCTCGGGGTCGGTCGCGAGTTGGTCGCGGGCGGGTCGCGGATGGGTCGCGGGTGGGTCTCGGGTAAGAATGTGCCAACCTATTTCAGCTTTGACCACGAGAAAGAATTTCGCGCACCAAGAAGGTACCGAAACTGGAGGGTTTTCACGTGTCGGGTCCTGGGATGCGATATTCGTTCGACATTGTTTCGATACTTTTCTGGGGGCTCGATTCGGCTCGATATTATTTCCGGGATGCGGTCCTGAAGTAGGATGGGAACAACACAAGTCTCGGGTGGGTCGCGGGTGGGTCGCGGGTGGAACGCGGGTGGATCGCGGGCGGGTCGCGGGTCCATCGCGGGTGGGTCGCGGGTGGGTCGCGGATGGGTCGCGGGTGGGTGGCGGGTGGGTCGCGGGCCGGGTCGCGAGTGGGACGGCGACAGCAACAATAACAACAACAGCGATAGTAACAGCAGTAACA